ATTATGCGGAGGCCGTTTACCATTTCAGACGTCTCTTTGGCAAGACGTTCTTGAATCTTAGCGAGTCTAGACTCGTACTGTTCAAGAGTTTCTTGACGTGAACGTAATTTTATATAATTTTTCATAGCTTCGTTCTTCACGATATATCTCTGTCTCACAAGAACGTGAAATAGAGTTTCGAACAGCATTTTTTCGGAGTCTATTCCTTTTTTCCGTGCCCGTTTCTTGGGATCTATATTGTTTAAGGCGCGCTGCACCTTTCGTAGGCGTACCCATAGCTACTTACTATTTGAAAACTAAAAAAAATACTATTAGATTTATGGCAATAAAAAGCAACGAAATGTTACAGTTTACCTGATGTAATCTAGAAAAATCCTACTGTACTTAACAGAACAACCTATTTCAGAGACTAAAAAGTAAAAAATAAAAAAACTACGTTTAAAAAAACCGACTTCAAAAACTAAAAAGTATAAAATAACTTAATAAAGATTAAATTTAATACACCTCTTATGCAAACCTTTAATATTAATAAAATACTATTGTTTGTATGTACTACCTATTGATAGGTTTGAAGTCGGTGCCAAGCCCTAAACAAAATAAAACTTAATATTATAAACAACATACTTACTGTTATGAAATTTCTACACTAAAGATTAACCTACGTAAATAAACCTAAAGAACAATGTGAATTAATGTGAAACAGATGAAAACTTCATTATAAAAATATATATAATATTAAAACCTGGATGAGTAACTATAGCTATATTAAACCTATATTATTCCTATATATGAATATACTTGTGGCCCTGAAAAGGACCTTTTGGTTTGCGTATTGTGTGACGAGCACACAACATGTTAAGTAATAATGAATACCTACAATTATGAAAACAACTTGTATAGAGTTTCGTGCAAGAGATAAATTATACAAATCTATCAATTAGGTAATAACGCATCAAAATTTTACTATATTTCGAGACGACCGTCAACGACGTCTGCCCGCTTGGCTTGTTTTGTTCTAGACGAAGCTATCCTGCTCAAAGTCACGCGCGACGAGTGTAGATACCTTCTATTACATTTGGCTTGGCACCGAATTGAAACCTATCAATAGGTAGCACATACAAACAATAGTATTTTATTAATATTAAAGGTTTGCATAAGAGGTGTATTAAATTTAATCTTTATTAAGTTATTTTATACTTTTTAGTTTTTGAAGTCGGTTTTTTTAAACGTAGTTTTTTTTATACATAAGAAGTGTATTTTTTAGTCCGTGTGGAGACGGATTAAGAATACAGAGTGTCACCACCCCTATTCATCCCGTGGGTGCCGTAAGAGCCGACTAAGGGAAAAAACTACGCAGAACAACAGCACTGCAGAGAGAAGGAAAACTTGACACAAACCCTATACCAACCCGTCTGGCCAGCGTGGTATAGTAGGCCAAAACCTCCTTTCTAAGGAGAGGCTTATGTCCAGCAGTGGACTATTAAAGGCTGTTGATGATGATTTTAGTAAGTTTTAGGGTGCCGTATCTCAAAAGAAAAAACGGAACCCTTATAGGATCACTTTGTTGTCCATCTGTCTGTCTGTCAAGACCCTTTCTCAGGAACGCGTGTAGGTGTCGGGTTAAAATTAAAACCATATACTAGGTCTTAGGTCCCTTGAAGCTGTAAAATAATCAAACTCCTAAGTTAATGAAAAAAAAAGATATGGCTGTTTATGCCGCAAAAACGCATATTTTGACACTCTCAAGTAAATCAAAATTCATAGGGTACTTCCCGTTGACCTTATAACTCGAGGTACAATTTTTCTTATAAAACTCAAGAATACAAGTAATTATAGGTTTTGGAAACCAAATTTCGGGCAAAGCTCGGCAAAAATTGCGAGATTCGATTCCTGAACTTTTTATAATATGTACCTACAAATGTGTACGGAACCCTCGGTGAGCGAGTCCGACTCGCAATTGGTTGGATTTTTTTGATTTGACATTTAAGGCAATCCATCACACGGCTGATGATAAGTGGTTTAGAAGTGATTGTGAAAAATTCTAAAACCATCTTGATTCATGTTAATTCTACTAAATTAACTTGAAATGTTAGGCCCTCAACATTATAAAACGAGGCAATTTACTTTTGCCTCGTTGATTGACGTAGCAAGGACCTATAAGTGAATCACTGTTTTTATTTTATAAAAAAGTACGTACCTTGTAATCTTGATCTCAAAGTATCTAGTGGATAAAATACAGCCATGCCTACAACGCTACCCTGAAAACAAACATAGGAAGTTACTTTGTTACTACAGCAAAGTTTACAAACAAATTATATCGTCGATATCTATTACTTTAAGTATTCATATTTTTAATCATAAACATTGTTATAATTACATACCGTGGCTCCTGCAAGAGCGTGCACTAAAGTTTCGTAGCTAAATAATGATGTAGTCATTTTGGATTAACACACAGCAACTTAAACGGCGCAGTGTACGTCTTAGATCCTTCGCACTTTGACCCCTTGTCCTCGAAAACATAAAAAATCCTTCCGCACGGCGAGCACTAACGTTTCGCACCAACAAGCGTGCGGATTAATCGTGCACACTGCACTGAAATGACTGAATGAATGAGACGAGCTAAGACGAAGGAGTTCGTTCAATTTGATCAATTAAAAGAATATAGGTAATATATAAAATATTCTGCGTATCAGTTCTACTCATAGATAAAGGTACTTTTATCAATGGTTCTACTACCTAATTTCAGCAAAGCGCAAAATTGATAATGATGGAAAATAGATAATTACAGATTAAGCCAAATCGTCATAATATTAGTGTTCTATGGGTCTAAATTACGATAACCGAAAATATCAAGATTTGACAACTTCAGTGTTGCAACGTTATGACAAGTACTAAATAGTGACTTTGCAAAATTATTCGATACGGAAATGGAATATTTCCGGATCGATTCCTCTCGTTTATAGACTACTATAAACGAGAGGAATCGATCCGGCAATATTCCATTTCCGTATCGAATAATTTGTTGTTTAGATATACTAAAATCTAAACAACCAATACTTTAATAGAAACTAAGTATATCAGGAAATTAAATATTTCTCAACGGATAATTTAGTTATGACGATTAATTTTATTAAGGATCTGAGAGTTTTCTTTAATAATTGTGTGTGAAATAAATAAAAAATGTGATCGTGAAGGAACATGAGAAATAAAACAAATAGATGTATTATGGTAATATTTTATTTTATAAATCGACGCCGTCATCGCTATCGCTATCGCTGTCACTTTCTGTAACATTTATTATAAATGTGTCTGTGATATTGTCAATTAACATATCTAGCCTACTCATTTTTTCCTCTTCTTTGACAACATGGGATACGCATTTAGACCATTCGTTAGCCGAAATTCTTCGTATTGCGGAGAATGTCATCAATTTTATCTTTGAAACTTCGCTTTGGTCCAGTGTTTTTAGGAGGAGTTGGTGGCGCACCTTTATTCCTTCCTTCAAAACGTTACAAACAGAGCGTGAGGTTATTCCCAATATGTCAGAAACTTTGCTCATACATTCATTTTCTTCCACAACTTCAAAGGCCTCCAATTGCGCAGAAGTTTCATTTTTCACGTACTTGTAGGCGTTGCGGATCATTACTTTTTCAGTAACAGTGAAAGCTTTTCGTTGATGTTTTTTACTTGGGGACAAGAAAGCATCCATGTCTTTTTGTGATGTACTTGGCTGAGGATCCATTTTGATGGAAAACCAAAACAAATAGATTCACTCAAAGTTCACAAAAAACTATAAACGTAACAACAAACACAACGTAACAAAACTTCAACAAAAACCCAACAAAATAACTAAATATCGATTCGCAATGAAACAAGATATTCGTGCAGCCAGACTGGGAGAAGAAGCCGAATGACAACATAAACAAAATGGCGATAGCTGCACGAGCGCGCACGGGTTGCCAATACAGAAAACTATCTAGGCTCTTTTATTATAAGTTTTGTTTTCTTAGCTCTTACTCATAGATAGCTCTTACCCATAGATCCTTTACATAGAAATAGAAGAACCATAAACTATTCAATAAAGATAAAATACACTGTGATGGCGAAACAATTGATAATAAATCAATGAAAACCAAATTGGTTGTCTACGGCTAAATTGTGATGAAATTTTTAAAATGATTATTGGAACATAGTGTAATTTTAAGCCCTGTTTCACTGACGGACAATCTTTGAGATCCCAGTCATTCATATATTGCATCTATGATTATGGGAGGAGGGGGCTAAAATGGGGGTAATGCACTTGATACTCTTGAGTTGCAGGTGTCCATGGGCAGTGGTAGTCACTTAGCATTAGGTGCCCCGTCTGCTCGTTTACCCTATATGCCATAAAAATACTTTAACTTGACCGACAACTTTTGTGGTATTATCAACAGCCGTAATTTTACCCACTGCTGAACATACATCTCTTCTTAGAAAGGAGGTTTACTTTTTTATGGTATACTTGATATAAGATAAAGTACAGTGCATAAAATGATATAATGTATATTATTGAAATTGGATTGCCTGTAAGTGTAATAGCGAGGTAGAAAGAGAAAGAAGACGGAGACTACTTTGAGCCAACAATTTAGAGATGAGTTGAGAGAGAGATGCATGTAAATCACCGTCTTCTTTCTCTTCCTACCAACGGCCCCTCTATATATTTCTATATATTTTCTCTATGAAACTATGTCTGTGCGTGTCGCGTGTTGTCAATAAATTTGACATTGACAAAAAAATACTTTGACAGCCTCGTAATTGTAAAACAAAAGTAACTCAACATCGTAATATATTTAAATAAATTGGTTGATGATATTAGATTACGTAGCTTACCACGTCAGGGTATATGTGTTGTATACCCTATATATGTTGTATCACTCCAGCAGAGTTGCAAATTAGATTAGTGTGATTTGGATTTTTTATTTGTATATTTAGATATATAATTTGTTATCTTTTTGTAAATCATGAAAGCTTTTATAGCGGAGGACAATCTTTGCGCTCAAAATTTATTAAAGCTAGTGTCTCATGGAAATGCTATAGTTGCTGAAATATTAAGACTTAAAGATCATAAACCTGCTACTTATCTGTGAGTACTATTTGATTTACTTAAAGTTTAGTACAGTATACAGTACAGTTACAGTTTACAATTTTGACCAATGCAATGATATACTTCTTTCAAAATTTACTTGAAACAGAATTTCTAAATATTTAAAATATAAATTAATGATTATTATTAAATATAATTATTAATATTAAATATAAATTAATGATATTGATCCTTGATTATTTTAATCAAATATAAATATTTATTTAAATAATTTCATCTATTTTGATGTACCTAATAGCTTTAGACTCTATGAACGAAATTATTACATTTTATTGTACTGTTCATAGGTTAGACAGTAAAGAAACACAACAAAAATACCAAGATGTTATCATGGATTTCAGCTACTTTAAGATTTCTGATTTCCAAGAAAAGAAGATTAACACAAGTTCAGTAAGTATGTTTCTTTAAACTAAATACAGACATATGTACATGGACGAGGTTACATTTCTTATCTAGCTATTTAGTTAGCTATCAACTATCAGAACATTCCAACTGCATTTTTGTTGGAAATTTTTGAGTATTGCTGTTTCATTATTAATTTAAAACCTTTCCTTCTAAAACTTAGAACATGGAAGTGAATGACTTCCTATTCTTTGAAGAGATTTTTTCTTCAACCTTTATTTTCTAAGAACTGTTAATCAGTCTTAAATATTTTTTTTTATTTTAAAACAAACCTGTGTGAAAAAATTGTTTACAGAAACTGCAAGACTTAGATGATGAATTAAAGGAGAAGTATATAGAACTTATCAATAGATTCTACTTGCTCTTTGAAAATATTTATCAGTATATAGTTGATTTAAATTCATTTATTGAACAGTTGAATGATAATACATTTATTCAACAAAATATGGAAACCGTAATGAAAGATGTAGAAGGTAAACAGCTTTTGGTAAGTTGGCATGGTTCAGTTAAATTTCTTGGTTTTATCTTTAAAAGAAGTAAGTTCCATATTGAAGTAAATGCTCATTTTTGTATTAAGTCACCAAAGTTTAGGATGAACCTCCTCTATTTATCCAGACAGGACTACCATACTCTAAAAATGGGGAATAATTAATTATTGAGCCAAAACATATTCCAATTTTTAATGTCATAATCAATCAAAATAAATAGTTTATAATCGATAGAAAACAATTATTATTTATTTATCCATGTGTCGTCATTATATGTATTATTATCAATATTTTGAGGGGCTGGATGGCCTAGTGGTTTGTGGTCGCGGGTTCGATTCCTGCTAAGTCAAATATTTGTGTGCATTATCATTTAATGTTTGATTTGGTCCGGGTGTCTCTATGTATACAGGGTTACCGAGAAAGTCGACCTAAATACTTTAAGGGGTTGTAATTGCCATTATTTCTGATAGATTTCTACGAAATACCGTATCCCAAACCCAACCATTTTCAAGATATTGAACTTTTAAGATTTTCATAAAAATTGCCAAAATTTTGCTTAATATTTTCTTTATTTTATGATTTTTATTCACTGTTTTTTGTGTAGTTGATACATTGTTTTATAATTTCCATTACTAAAATTGTAGTTAACTTAACCAAATGGGCCAAAGTAGATAGTCAATAATAGCAAAATTAGTAATAAGGTTGGGTGGCTCGTGTGGATACGAGATTGGCAGTATCTGTAACAAATCAGAATATCAGCATATTCCTTGCTCGTAAAGGTCGTCATCTTCAACAGTATCAGCACAGATCAAAGTTCAGTTAGCAATAGTTATTCATGAATAGCAAACGACGAGGGTAGTAACCCTGTATACATATATATTATGTATTTACAAAAAAAGTAAATATGTATTTATATCAGTTGTTACCTATAGTATAAGCTCTGCTTAGTTTGGGATTATATGAAGCTGCGTGAATGTGTTAGAATATTATATTATTATAATATATCTACAGTTTATTATATTAAAATAAAACTTACAATAATTCCAGTGCGAAAGCTTGTACCTTTATGGTGCTATGCTTTTATTGTGCGATCTGTATATTCCTGGGCCACTGAGGGAGAGACTGCTTGTTGCATTTTATCGCTACAGTACAAGCCAATCACAGTCTAATATTGATGACGTTTGTAAACTTCTAAGGGATACTGGCTACGATCAGCTGAATGGAAAGAGACCTGCAGATTATCCCGTAGAATACTATAGGTCAGTTTGCACTTTATAGTGGGACTAGTATTATTTTAGATCTTGCATTGAATTCTAATTATATCCTGCTATATTTTAGCCGGGTTACCATTCGTCCTGATTTTATTGAAAAGGTTATAGGAAAACTAAGGTCTGAAGATATATACAATCAGCTGGCAGTTTACACAATTCCCGAGCATCAAGCTTCAGCATTAGCCACACAGGCCAGTATGCTTGTGGTTTGTTTATTTTTTACACCGCGTTATCTTCATACAGATACTTCTAGGATGAGAGAAATTGTAGATAAATTCTTTCCAAGTAATTGGGTTGTACCAATTTATATGGGCGTTACTATAAACATAATTGATTATTGGGAAAATTTTAAAGCTGCTAAGTCTGCTTTGAACAACACTTGCAATGGCAAGATGGTTAGAGATTTTTTTGCAAAAAGGGGTGGATCTATACCGATGTTAACCAATAAAACACACCAACTCTTAAAAGAAGGAACTCTAACCGACGACTTTGTGTTGGATAATATAAACAAAATATTGAATCTCCTTTTAAACTCTAATCTAGTTTTACGATGGCTACTATTACACAATACAGATGTCATATTTTATGATCACAATAGAAAAAGCAAACAACTTAAAGATATTGTCTTAAAGGAAACTAATTATGATCCTTTAAAAATATTAGAGCTAATGATAAGCACTGCAGAATTAGAATTAAAAGTCAGAGAAATTCTAAACAAATTGTTGGAGAACAGAATAGAGTCATGGAACGCGAATAAAGCTCTTGCGATAGAAGCAATAGATAGTTTATCAGAACTTTTTTCTGGAGCCAAACATATTACGAAAATACAAGAAAACGAACAGTTGAAATTATGGTTTCATAATATTGCTAAACAAGTAGCATCTTTAGGCGATCCCATTTCTTCAAAATCAATTAAAAAAGTTACTCAACTGATACAGGCATTGGACGAAGTTGAAGAATTTCATGGTATAAAAAGTACTTCAACAATTGTACAGTTTCTTTCTGAGAGTAAAGAAGCATTAAGAAATCTTCTTAGGGCTGCATCTTTAAAGGAGGATTCATTAGTTACTTTAGAGACCATTGCAGATGTTAGCTATGCTTGGTGCACAATTGACACTTACACAAAGTATATGCAAGATAGCATTAAGGAAAATCCAGCGGTAACAAGCAGACTACGAGCACTTTTTTTGAAGTTGGCTAGTGCAATGGAAATACCTTTACTGAGGATAAATCAAGCCCATAGTGATGACTTGGTGTCAGTTTCGCAATATTACAGTAATGAGTTAATAAAATATATTCAGAAGGTATTGCAAATAATTCCAGAAATGGTTTTTAGTATAGTTGAAAAAATAATTGATTTGCAAACGTGGGCTATTAAAGAAATACCTACGAGATTAGAAAAAGAGAAATTAAGAGAGTATGCACAGTTAGAACATAGAATGGAAGTTGCTAAACTGACTCACTCTGCTTCCACATTTACAACAGGTTTGTGCCTTATAGTTTTAATTAAGTACGTTAAGTACCATCAAGTAAGTTTGAAGGTGACTGTTAAAAATAAAAACACTAAAACTCCGTCCATTAGAGTTCTGTAGGTCAATTCGATATTAGGATGTGTAATAAGTGAACAAGCCACACGTCCTGACTGAACGTCGTTCAGTGCTTCTTTTAACTACCGATATTTTTTATTTGGGCACTTAAAAACCTATTTGAATCTACAGGAATTTTAGATATGCGGTCAACACTAGTAGGTGTTATACGAGTTGATCCGGCCAAATTATTAGAAGAAGGATTATTAAAAGAGTTAGACAGACACATCGGTAAAAAATTTGAACAATTCTTAGAACCTCAAAAGAAGTACCAACCTACAGCAGCCAACTTGCTCTCACGATTACAAAAATTAGCTGAAAGCATGGATGGCTATAGAAGGTCTCTCGAATATATTCAAGACTATATAAACATTCATGGTTTAAGGATTTGGCAGAAACAGGTAATCAATCTTGTTACTTATATACATGACTTGTTCAAGCGGGATATATTTCAGGCTTTACTTAATGACTAAAATAATCTTTCGTCGAATCGGGCGCTGTCCCTCAATCACTATTTTGTTTTTATTTTTTGTGACGCCAAAGATATCATTTTACGGCAGCGTGTAATGTTGAGCAAAATAATACTAATTTATGTGTAAACTTATAACTTGTGCAGTACCACTGTCCTACAAAAGACTGCTGTTATTGCTGTTATTGTTCTGTCGCTATGTGCGGTCACCAGAGGGAGGGTGGTTAAAGTCAGCAAAGTATGTTTTTGTGGGTTTGCACGTTCCTACAAATCGTGTAAAATAGTGATGCGCAAAATGTATCACTGAGCTGAAAACACAGATAGATATCCTTACGCTCTAAAGATATACAGCCTTGGCCAAAAGTATTAGGCACCCCAGAAAAATGCACAATTCATGTTTACTGATTGAACAATGAATAGAATAAATGCTTAGATGTCATGCCGGGGTCACAAATAACTTCCTAGAAAAGCAAGCAGCTATCTGTTATGGTCATAAAACACCTGGTGACTGAAAACTAAGGATTTGTTTTTATGCGTTCTTATCAGTCAATGTTTGGTCACTTGTGTTGAGGACTCTAACGAGTAAACAAGCTTTTATTTATAACATAGTGATTTATTTAAAAATGCCGAAAAGAAGTGAAATTAATTTGGAAAACCGAGTAAAAATACAACTTTTCCATGAACAAGGGCAGTCGCAAAAAGAAATTGAAAGTTAGGGAAATGTTCGCGTTGCGCTGTGCAATCTGCTATCAAACGGTTTGCTGAGACTGGCAGTCACGCTAATAAACTAAGAACAGGCAGAAAACGTGTGACTTCGAAGCGCGAGGATAGAAAATTAATACGCGAATCTATGAAAGATCGGAAGAAAACATCATCAGAGCTTGCTGCTACTTTGTCTGAAGAGGCTGGAAAGCCAATAAGTGCTCGGACCACCAGAAGAAGACTTAGAGAAGCAGGCTTAAAAGGATGCAAAGCCAGGAAGAAGCCCTGGCTTTCAGAAGCTAACAAAAGAAAACGACTTGAATGGGCTCTACGGCATCAACATTTTACTGAGGAAGATTGGGCCAGTGTGGTATGGTCTGACGAATCTAACTTTGAGGTAAGTAAATTTTACTGCTTTTGTTATTATTGACATGGACAGTTATTTATTTAACTAAAATAATAAAAGTTAAGGCAGTTTAAACCTCCTTTCTAAGGAGAGGCCTATGTTCAGCAGTAGACTATTAAAGGCTGTTGATGATGATGATGAAGGCAGTTTAAAAAAGTGTTTTTTTCTTTTTTCAACAGACATTTGGAACGCCAGGTGTGACCTTCGTGAGGCGACGTGTGGGCGAAGAATACCATCCAGATTGCGTCTTACCGACAGTAAAGCATGGAGGAGGCAGCATAATGATCTGGGGCTGCATGGCTACTGATGGGGTTGGCGAAATGTTTGTTTGCGAAGGTCATATGAACAGCGAAAAGTACATATAAGTGCTTGAAACTGCGCTTATGCCTTCGCTAACGAGTATTTTCGGCGATACCAACTTAGAGGGAGTTATATTCAAGACAATGCACCTTGTCATAAGTCAGTGACTACGATGAGTTGGTTTACTGAAAACAACATTGACTTATTTGATTGGCCAGCGCAGTCACCAGATTTGAACCCAATTGAACATCTTTGGAGCATTTTGAAGCATAAGATTAAAAAGCATAGTATCACATCGAAAACGGCATTAAAAATGCGTTAGTACAAGAATGGCATGCCATTACAAGGGAGAATTGTACTAAGCTTGTACGCAGCATGCCAGCTAGAATTTGTGCAGTAATTAAATCCAAAGGTGGACCGACTAGATCTTAAGTTTTTTTCATTCCTTTTTTGTGAATTTTAATGGTAATAAATAAAATCAAAAAGTATAAGTGGTTTTACCTTTATGTTAAGTAAAATGTAGGGATCCTAATACTTTTGGCAAAGGCTGTATATCACTCATCTAGCTCCCTAGCTAATTTTGCTCACTTTTTATCGGTGTGAATGATATATGTATAATCTTTTATATATGTACAGTATATCTTTTAGATCACAACTCTAGTGTACAATCCTCGGTGCATATGTAAACCTCCTCAAGCCGTCACCTCACCGGGGTTTTCGAAGTGGACTGATACCATATGTTATGTTTAAAAGTGATTTGAATTGTTTATTTCTTTGTTATACCTTAACTGCTTAACTAGACATCATAAAACTACATCTACATTTAGTCAGAGGTACACAATAGGCGATCCAGAGTAATAGGTATTATAACATTGTCAAGGGGTACCTACTTTACGTTGACAAAATCGAAATTCACGCGATAGGGAATATGCATGTATTTTTTTATTTTTTTAAACGATTTTACTCGTTATTACATTACCAAAAATAAATATAACACATCCGAAATATAAACCGTTAAGCAAAAAAAAAATTATTAATATCACTATCATTTTGGGGCAATTTGAACACGTCCATTTTGGCGCGCTTTTTTTGTGACGTCAGATTACACTTTCAGACGAATTCGATGTCAACAACGGAGTGAAGTTCACAAAGTTTGTGAAAGTTAAAAAAGTGAGTGATATAAATTAACTTATTACCATGGAAAAGCCAATAAAAACTTATTATAAATATTGTGCCGTTCCTTTGTGCCAAAATAATATCAAAACTGCACCTGACAAAGTATATTCAGTCATTGTGTTGAGTCTTCAGTGAATTTAAGACTGAAAACGTAGATTAGTTATTAACTTAAAATGAAACAAATAATCACCAGAAACCAAATATTACAAATACACACAACTTGTTGACACTCTTGACAGTGTAGGTTGACGTCACGTTTTATTCAACCAATAGCGTTGCGTTTTAGAAATTTGCGAGGGAATCTTAAAAAAGCCAATTTTTGATGATTAAATTTCACTATTAAATTATAATAAATTTCAAAAATAATTGTATGGGTATCTTTTTTAGCAATAAAAATTACAAATAAAAATATTTTGTCCATTTTGGTGTCACGTGCATATTCCCTATTGACGACGAGCAGAAGCTAGCATAAATTAATTTTAAGTTATTAATTAAAATCTTTTTTAGATAGCAGCAATCATAAATCGAAGTGTAATTAAGGAAATCAGCTATCGGAAAGGTGTTACGCTGTACAGCCCTTCGGCTGGATTTATGGGCAGTCTGGCTAGACAGATACCTCAGTTATTAGATGCTAGGTAATAAACCAATTCTTATTTATGTTTACTGTACTCGTGACGTATCGGTTGCGTAGTGCACAGGGCAACGCCTTTTCACAATAAAATACTGAAGATACCCTACAATAAACCCCAAGATATAGCTTCCAAAACTCTTCACCAAACACTTCTTATCATACAAGTAGGTAATAATTCAGTAATTGCCAAATGTTAATATCCATTTCCATCAAATAAATTTATTTGACTATAAAGTGGAGTGGCAACTAACTTAAATATGTAACAACTGTTACATTGTTGTTCTGGTTCTTGAGTCTGCGGTATGGCACGAAAATTTCGAATTGCTCTTTAATAAGTGGACTAAACTAATTAGATCTAAGAACGAAATCGCTCTTCTATAATATACATACTTGGGCGAGTACAATCCTTTTTTAAGTACTCTAAAACGTTTGATGAGGGTTTGTACTATTTAGGAAAAAAATAATTAAATTTAATTGGACTTACAGATGCTGCACGTACGTCAGCATATGCGGAGCATGGTATGACGTAAAAACGCAAAATGAAATTATGAACAACAAAACATTCGCCAAATTGAATGATGCTATTGGTGTCGTTGGTCTTCATGGATTAGATACTTTATATGGTTTTATGATAAAAAACCAAATGCAATATGTTCAAGACATATTCGGGAGCAATTCTGACAAGATGGCTGTAGGGGTTATGAGCGCAGATATGAAAGAAATAGAACCAATAATTGCGAAAGGGCAAAAAGTTTTTCAACAGTTGTCAGATGTAATAGTTCTTATTGGAACCATACAAATCATCAGGAGACACATTGCCTACCAGTTAAACACTAATTGTAAATTTGATTCAGCTCAATTAGAAGCTTTACTGAGAACTATGAATGAGTAAGTATTTTGTTTAAGCGCCGCGTGGTTTAAGTCAAAGTGACTGCAGTATTACCTTCATAGGTCAGACTTTTAAACTTCACTAAAGCGCCGATTAACAAAATAAAGTTAAGAGTAATGCATGATTGAGTTATTACAGTTCCTATTAGCACTCTTCCTCGTTGTCTAAATCCTTGTTAGTCTATTTACGTGTTTAATATAGTGGTGACATTAAATTTTACATTAAAAATATATCATTAGACTACAAAAATTGACTTGAGACTTGCTTGCTAAATTAAAAACTCTAGTGCCTGTTGTTTCAAAGTACATATATATTATTCCATTTTCAGATCAATTATTAATGAATTAAAAACATCAGTGAATTCTAAAACAAAGCCAAAAGTATCATCACAATTGATCTTCAAGCTGGAAGAGCATTTGGTGAGATGTGGAATTTATGAACCATATGAAAAAATATATGTGAAGAACGCTCCAGAAATATTGAACGCTGATATAGGCCGCATCTTAGTGGTGCTTTTGATATCGCAGTTGCCCAAACTACAAATATGTTATACTACAGGTATAGCAGTTACAAATTATTACGTGCTTATTTTTTTATATAATTTTAATAACAAAAGTGGTTTTCATACTTCTTAGCAATTTGCAAAATTTTGTCAAAATCTCTAATCTCCTTATGTTTGTTAATTCTCTGTTTAATTTACATTATAATATTTTTTTTCAGGTGACTTAGTTACAAAAAGAGTTGGAGAAAACGTTGACGGTTATCCATTATTAGTCGGAATCTATACACTTCTACGTCAAACTAAATCTGAGAATCTGAATACCTTTATTGACTTATTGTGTACATTTGTAAGGTGAGTTAAATGTATTTATAGAATACACAAATTAAACTTTAACAAAAATAAAATGCCTTGTTGACAACTCTTAAAGCACATATTAGAACAAAAATATCTGTTAAAGGTGGTATTTACATTGTATGAAACGATTCCAGTAAGAGTGTACTAGTGGAAATCTTGTACGGCCGTTGCTGGAGTGAGATTTTAATTTTTTGGTTGTGGAATTTAGCCCTTCCCATATATCAAGTTTTTAGAATAATATAATTATGCCTTCATCCAAGGTGTACATCTGAGATATCTGAATCAACGAATGAGAAAAAACTGCTTTGTAGACAATGGCTTGTTTTTTTCTTTAATTCACTAAAGTAAATAATCATTTATAACAGTAGTTTAAAATGTTAAAAATATTTCAATCAATTTTTTTGTTTTTATGTTCAGTCACAAAAAAAAAATATATTATTTTATTTTCAGATTAAAACATTCCGAACAATCCAGTGATGTTTCCTGTATAATAAGAATATTGCAGTTATTTTGTGAAACCTTTAATTATCCACTCAACAAACTTGAAGACAAACTGCCAATGATTTTACTTACTCTTCAAAAATAAAACGAGGATATTTAATTGTAAATTTATATTTTTATTATTTACTCTAGGACAAAAATGAACAAATATATTGTTCATTTTGTTGTTGTGTTACATATATATCGTGGCTGTAGAATGAATACCTCGTATGTCAAAAACAGCCTCACAATTTAATGTTACAACCACTTGAAACAACAGCTTGATTACTATGATATAAGAGTAAACTTATAAACAGTACCGTAATAAAATGTTTCTTTTGACTACCTGTAGTTTTGTCTTGCAAGTTCGGGGTTAAACTGTGAATTATATTTAGGTTTCATTTTTGTGTCTTTTTGCACTTCAATATTCATAGGTTTATTTAAAGCAGTAAGAAACATTTCAGTTCTATACTTTTCTTGCTGTTCACGTCTTAACCGTGCCTCTCTCAGTTTTTGTAACTTAATTTCATTGTCTCTATCTCTATGGTGTTTATTTTTTTTATTTTTGTGCTTATATTTCTCATTTATTGAAGAATAATCTTCATTCAGCTTTTGTTCACCTTTTTTAGAACTTTTATTGTCTTTATGTGATGGAAGCAGATGTTTAAATGCTTTCATAGGGTCAAGAGATTGTTTGTTTTTCCAACACACTTCTCCATCCTTTTCATCTGTTTTTTTATTCTTTGGTTTACCATCAGCGTCTTTAAATACCAGTTTTTCATAAGTATCTTTAATGTTACTAGATCTTGAACTTTCTGGCAGTACTTCATACCAGTTCTTTTTGCCAAGGGCTTCATTTGTATCCTGACCTAAATATGTTAAATAACCAATTTTTTTCTCATACTCTTCCTTTTTTTCCTTCAACTCTTTGTCATGTTCCTTGTTTGTACTTTTTGTTGCCTCTTCAAAGTTTGCGAATAAGTTTAAATGTTCAGTGGGTAAGATCTTTTCTGGCTCAGGATCTGTTAGGCCCAATTCGAATAACTTCTGTTTGCTTTTATGTTTTAACACCCTTAGCCTCGCCTCACGGTCTGCCTTTTCAGTTCTTATTTGTTCTTGCTTTGCTTTTTCTTCAGCTTCTGCTTCATCCTTTCTCACCCTTGCTATATTTTCTTTTGTCCTCACATGCCATCTGCAAAAATGGTGACAGTTATTATTAATAAGTAGTTAGATATGATTGAGCACAAGTTTTTTTTAAGTAAACTAATTTAGTAGGCCCGGGCTTTCTTTTTGATCTGACATCCAGTGAAAACTGAAAAAATGGCAACACAGACTGGAGAATCATCAACAGCCTGTGACCTGTTGAGCGCCAAAGGCGCAGAAAAAATGGCAACACAGACTGGAGAATCATCATGATCAACCTGTGACCTGTTGACCGCCAAAGGCGCAGAAAAAATGGCAACACAGACTGGAGAATCATCATGAACAGCCTGTGACCTGTTGACCGCCAAAGGCGCATTAAAGCGTCATTTTATAACTTGATCGAGACGCCAATTACGTCTTAAAGCGTCCATCGCACTTCATTTTTTACGGACGAATAAAACTTGACTAATGTTGATTTTCAGAATAAGCGTCCATCTTGATGACTATAATCATACCTTTAAGCAATGAGATATAGTCTGATTGAGCACGTAATATTTAAAAATTAATTGATCAAAAAACTAACTTTTAAAGCTACACCCTGAGCGACGACGGTCTACCCACGTATGAAAAGTAATTAATAAGTAGGTAGGTAGCTTCAAAAATGATATAATCCTACAGCAGCAGCAACTCCTCCTCCGAGCCTTTTTCCCAAATTAGGTTGGGGTTGGCTTTAAGTCTACTACGACACGACTGAACTTCAATTTTTTTTTTTGGAGTGGAGCGACTGTCGTCAGACCCCCACAACCCAAGTAAGTACTAGGTGGTATCGAAGTTCTGTAGAAAGACTTTTCGGACTTTTTTGGGCTCCAACTACCCGTAACGATTGCCACAGATGTTCGTATGGAAACCGGGACCGACAGCTTAACGTGCGCTCCGAGGCACGGTGGGGTCTCAATGTGTTAAGAGTGACCACCCATCCATAGACTGACCTGGCTAGGATTGCAATGTGTTAACCTGCTCGGCTACCACTTAGCCCGAGCAACTGAAGAACATAAAAAAGTTTTTTTTTTTCAATATACTTATTATTTAGCATAGTACCTAGTTACCCACTAATAGTTATTATCTTTGTATGTAGTACATTTATTTATTTGTATCGACACTTACTACTACATAAATTAAATACAAATTATAGTCCATCTAATCTAAGAGGTACCGTTTGAGGTTTCTTACTTTTCATACTTAGTTGGGTAACTCATAATTTTAATAAACTTTTTCGTAAAACCATGGAGTTATAAAGTAATTTCTATTTTATCACAAGATGCATCATTCTTTATGACTAAATTTAAATCTTTTAAAAAAAGAAAATTAACCAATGTACGAGGGTGGTCTGAAAAGTTTCCGACCTCTACACGAAGACGGCAGCACTCGTGAATAAAAGCTAGTGAACTTCGTTGTTCATCTGTTGACAGTTACTGGCCAAAGTTTCAGCCATTTTGGACGCGCAGTTGTTCTGTGTAACAGTCGTTTGAGTGAGTTGATGTGTGTTTTAATGAAAATGGACAAAATCGAGTATCGCTGTAGAGTATAGCTGTCTTTAAATATTTGTTTTTGAAAGGCCATACGCCTACGCAAATCGTAGATGAGTTGGATTCTGTGTATAATGCACCATCATTTACCACAGTGAAATTTTGGGCAGCTGAATTTAAACGTGGCCGTTGGAGCTTGGGAGACGTTTTTGAACTTTCGGGACGTCCAAAAACTGCAACTACCGACGAAAACATCGCAAAAGTTCACCAAATGGTGCTAGACGACCGCCGAATTAAAGTGAGAGAGATAGCAGAGGTTATGAACATGTCAAAAGAACGTGTTTGTCACATATTAAATCAACATTTAGACATGAGAAAGCAGTCCGCGCGTGGGTGCCGCGTTTGCTCACGTTAGACCAAAAATGTGTTCGAATAAACATTTCCAACGCTCTGTTGGCCCAATTTAGGCGCAATAAATCCGAGTTTTGGCGCCGATTAATTACTGTAGATGAAACTTGGATACACTATTATACGCCCGAAACAAAAATACAGTCCAAACAGTGGACTGTATTTTTGTTTCGGGCTACCTAATTACTTATCACTTTACTTGCTTTTTAAAATCTATTTATTAAAAATACAATTTTATACGTGTTTATTTCGGGAATGCTCGATTAACTTCGAACCCGGCGGTACGTGTCACTCCTTGATAAAGTAGGTACTTTGGTTGTCTCGTAATCTTTGTACCGTCCTTACAAAAATTCGGCAGTCCGTAGGACATACACGAATGATCCCATACCTCGGTTCGTCCGTAAAGCTAAGATGCGTTTTGATAGAGTTCCCCGTAAATTAACATCATGTCAGGATATTCCGCGGCTGCGAAGGTCACCCACGTCATTATGGATGTTGATGCACTTGATACCGATAACCCAATAAAATTAAAAGTCTGATAATGCACTCAGTTTCACACACACTTCACAACATAATATTAACAGTTTTCAAAATAAAATTAGCGGGACTCGTTACAACATGAAGTCTTGCACACACGATAACATAATTGTTCACACCATTCCTGTGTATTATGACTATGTATAGCGTTAATAAGACTAAATAATTATTATCACATCAATTAAAACTTTTCTAAGCAAATATCTCACGAACAACAACAATATTATTATTACGATAGTTCGTCGAGAGCGCATCTATTAGGACAGAACAGCATAACACTCAGCGAATCGCGGTGTCTAAGGGCCGACTGACTGTACTTACTAGATGAACTAATTAAAAACGCGTGTGCTTCAAAAAGATGACGCAATAATCAACATATTTCGTTCGATTCGAGTGTACTAAAAGCGGCAACGGCCAACGTCTGATCGCCGCCTGAGGTCAATGTATAATGCCTGCATTTACACATAAAAATAAATCGCAAAGTATATTTTACAATGGTTTGTAACATCTTTTAGAACTCCTGTATACAGTAGATTGAATTTTTTTAGACTTCGTTTCAAAGTCACGTAGATAGGTCCTTTACCCTAGTGTTGCGACTCTTTAAATTCACTTCTCTTCGAATAATCGAACTTATAAATACCTGCTATTTTCAATCCAACCGTCTTTCAATATTTACAATACGCGCCATACAAGTCTGCGCCAATGCAATTAGCTGCAAACCGAATTTGCCCAGTTTACGTCGCAAACAAACGTACTGAGCATGAAAAAACGTTTTATTTACTGTTAATGAATTATTAGGCTACAAACAAGTAGTTATAAAATTCTTTTAAGGTTTATTAAAGATATTAAAATATGTGAAGAACTATTGTTTGCTAGAAATTTAGAGACCGATACAAAAGGCGAAATCATATTCAATACATTGGAAAAGTTTTGTGATGAGAAAGAGATTCCCTTGAAAAATATTATATCAGTTGCTACGGATGGCGCTCCGGCTATGACCAGCTTCTTAGCGTACTTAAAAATAAAAATTCCAGATGTCCTTGCTGTACATTGCGTTATTCATAGACATTTGGTTGCTAGAAACTTAAGTGAACGACTATTTCAATCACTGCAATATGTTATCAAAGCAGTCAATAAAATCCGTCACAGCTCTTTAAATGATAGATTATTTCATCAGCTTTGTGTTACTAATGACGAAGATTTCACCCGTTTGTTGTTTCATACTAAAGTTCGTTGGCTATCAAGAGGCAATTGTCTGACTCGATTACAACCTATTTGACTCTGACTAAAGAATTGCGCAACAAGCTCATTACATCAGAGAATGATAAAGTTTACATGACAGACCTGTATAAATTGTTCAACGACATAAATCTCAAACTGCAAGGCGATGAACAAAATTTTTATTAAAACAAAAAATGTCGTTGCTGCTTTCGCAGTCAAACTGCTTCTACACAAAAAGAATATGGGCAGATGTGAGTGACGTGAGGGCAATTTTCCGAATTTATCAGTATCCTGCAGTAAAGACGACTTGTTTGCCTACTACTACTACAACATTTGGAAAACCTCCACAGTGACTTCACCGAACGATACCAGGACATTTTGAGCTTGGAAATTCCAGACTGGGTGTTGGATCAGTTTTCAAATGTCAACACAGCAATGTCACCTCAGCTGGGAGAAGAACTTATAGAATTGAGAACAAATGAGGAAATAAAAATCAAGTTCAAAAAAGGCTACCAAGAATTTTAGATACAAAAACCGATCCTGCAATTGTACCCTGGATTGAGGTCAATCTTTCAACGATTCTTGATAGCATTCCCATCGTCATATTTGTGTGAACGTGGATTTAGTGCTGTAGCAACGCTGCTTACAAAAAGAAGAATCCGTTTGCATGTTACCAAACGTGGCGACTTGCCGCTGTTCTTGAGTAAACTGGAACCTGATATCAACAAACTTATTAAACACCATCAGATTAGTTTTTATTACTTCACATTAGTTTTTATATAAGAATCGATTATGTTTGTTTGAATAAAAGATACTCTGTCTGAATACTATAAAGTTGGGTTTCAATAATCATTCTCTTTGGAGGTGTAGCCCGCAAGAGTTAACTTGAGACCTAAGCGCCGTTGTGTACTATCTACTGCGTTCAGGTCTCAAGTTAACTCTTGTGGGTTATAGTAAAAGTCTCGTTTAGAATGAATGTGTAGAGTGACAAAATAAGTTTGTGAACCCCTACTAATAAGAATCTCTTAAGAAAGAACCTATTCACCAATCTGTCAGAACTGTGGAAGAGTACCTCTTAGATTAGATCATGGCTTAGCCACCATTATGGATTTTACTTTTGATAACACAAAATTTTTGTCGCTAATTAACAACCTAGGGAGAATCTTCCCAGGTTGGCCATGCTTATATGTCAAAAACTACCTAGCGAAGATCTGTTTTCTCCCAAATTTTGTCGTTAAATATTTGCAATTCGTCGCCCATTTAAAAAAAATAATTAATAACTTTTTTTATTATAATATCTGGTCTTATCTGAAGCTGTTACTTCGCTGTAATGATTACTTAACTGAAAAATAACTTACAAACTTAGCTGAGAAAGATATTTACAAAATCTTCAATGGTTGCTTGGCGTAGAGAGCACAGTTTGTCGTTATTAATGTGGCAGTGAAAGCATTAATAGTAAACTGCTGAACATAGGCCTCACTTTAGAATGTTGACTTAAAATCAGCAGAACCAAAACCCAATATATATTCTGTGATTTCTGTAGTCTCTCTTAATCTTGCAACTATTATTCCAGTCTGCACTGCTTTTCAGTACCTACTATAAATAAATAAATAAATACCTTGACTTGCGCTTACAAAGTGATGGTGAAATTGACTACTCTCACTCCAAAGTTCTAGGGTATGTTTATAAAACAATCATCAGACAGCTGAAGTGCTTATGTTAAGATGGTTGTGTGGTGTAACTAGGATGGACAAGGTAAGGAATAAATACACTACAGGAAGCCTGCACCCGTAGATGAAAAGTTGAGGATCAATAGGTTATCCAGGTTTAGACATGGGCATGTGAGGCATTTAGATGAGCAAAATGTGGTGAAAAGACATAAAACAGAGAACAACCAAAGAAAAGATGTAAAGAAATTAGCGGGAGTGAGGAGGAGTGATCGAGGAGATTGGAAAAACAAAACTTATTGAAGACCCTACATAATTTTAGCAAAGCCCTATGGGTCTAATAGGTTATGCTTGTTAGAGAAAGATTAAAAAATAGAAAATTTAAGAAATAGGGGAGAAGTGTTTATTTTTAGTAATTTTGTAGTTGTGTTATGTATCAATGCAAGCAAGCACTGCAAAAACTCAACTAGGGAATAATTGACTGAGAGAAAATATATTTTGTCTGGTCATATAATTTAAATTAGGCTAAAATGATTGAAGAGCAAACCAAAATAAAATAGACATTCACGTTGAAATCACCATGACCATAATATTATGCACAAAAGAATTATATGCAAGAAAACATTGTACTAAAAATATAGGCTTATAGATACAACTGTTCATTTTTCATGCAAACAAATTATTCAAAAGATGTAGCTGATATAATTTAAATATGCAATATTTGAATCACGCAACGCAACTCAATAACATCACTGTTGCACACATGAAAATATGATACGTACCTTTTTTTTGGTAAGATGTTCATCTTGCTATAATTTTTGTCACGTTTCACATTAAAACTATCGCTACTGAAAATGTGTAATGTAATTTCAGTATCACAGAAAGACTATAATATAAGTTAATCTATGAATAAAAGTACCTAAACAGTTGACATGAGAAGATTGACAAGTTAAGTAACTGTAATGTAAGGAATTCTGACAGCTTTTTTGACAATTCAGAATTAGTCAGTGATGCCCTGACACCTTTAAACCAAAAAAAATAATCTATTTTTTGAAACGCTAAAGCTCACTGAGGTTGTCTCTGGTGTGTTGAAGAGAGATTAGTGAGTTTTTAGGTATTTTGGCATATAATTTCAAATTGTGCTTTCGAAGTAGTGTTTAAGTGGTTCTGTTGCAGGAATAATCCTTAATAAGGTCAGTGAATATTAAAAGGGACGGACCCCCCCTCCTGATCTGGGCGGTGTATTACCCCCCGATGAACCCAAAAGCTATAAAGCGACAGTCGGACTCAGTCTTTTCCGTTGACTTCGATGGAAAGAAAATACGTTCTCCAGCTGAATCGAATCAGTTAATTTTCTCAAAACCTGGATTTGAGTCTGATTCCAGGCTTGAATACTCGGTATCAGACAAGGGTCCATATTCTGTGTATGTTTCTAGGCTTGAACCATCATCCGGCCTGTCTCTTCAAACACTCAAACTCGTCCAGTTTTTATATCAAAATCAAAATACCTGACATTGTAGAGGGTACCTATAAAAATATGGGTCGTAACAAAGTATGTGTGGAATTTATTTCCGCTATTTCAGTGAATAATTTCGTTAACTCCCAAATTGTCAGACAAAATAATTATGTGGCAAATATTCCTCACTGCATAATATTTTGTATAGGTGTTGTTAGGGATATCTCTACTGAGTGGACTCTGGAGGAACTTGTATCTGGAATATCTGTCCTTGAAAATTGTCTTAACGTAATAGAATAAATGGATCATCCGTTTGGGTCCCAACGAACTCCGTGGTTCTTACTTTTCTGGGACAGAGTCTGCCATTTTTATTTTTGCTTTAATGCATCTCTGCCTGTGTCGCTTTACCAGATACAAACCATTCAATGTAGGAATTGTTGTCGGTTCGGCCACATTGCTAATCAATGTAGGTTCCAGCCCCGCTGCTACAAGTGTGCTCAGCCCCATTCTGGTGACTCCTGCCTGGTTCCTAACTCGGAGGTATCTTGTTTTTTATGTCATGGTGGTAGCCATTTTGCTACTGATAACAGATGTCCCGAACATAACAGACTAAAATCAATCAAAAGTATCATGTCTCAGGAAAACCGAAGCTATATGGAAGCATCCGCAAGATTTCCACAGTTTGCCAAGCGGCTATATTCTGAGGCGGCTGCCAGTCCCAAATCCCCTGCTAATTTCCCTCTAAACCCTCAAACTCATCCATCCTCGTACCTCTCTCATCTGGTTCTCCTTCTAAATCTTACAAAAAAACAATTAACCTTCCCCTTCGCCGTATATCTACGAGTATGTCTGGGAAGACATATGATATTCATGCTCACAATGCTATTACTCAGTTCCCAACTTTTATCCACCCTAATGGTTGTTGCCTTATTCCCCCTACTGAAACAATTCCTCTTGCTACTCCTAATGACAATCGGATTTCCTCAATTTAAAAAAATTGCTGCCAGCACAACTAGACTTTTTTCTGCTAAGAAAATCTCTTTAGGATGGCGTTCATTTTGTGAGTCCTTATCTCCTCGCTCTAGGCTTTCACTTGCCTGGAAAAAATTCAAGTCATTCCGAAAAAGTCTCGATGTCACAAACATCTCTAGCAATGACCCTCATTCATTCCTACTTGACTTCCTTAGCCAACTGGCTCCTCTATATGCTCCAGATTACGATTCCCACCTTCCTATCCGTTTATTTCAGATTCCTCTCAAAATACTATGGATGATCCCTTCTCTTTTACAGAACTATCCTTTGCTCTTGATAACCTCCATGATGCCCTTCCTGGCATTGACGGTATCCCTAACTCTCTTATTCGTAAATTCTCCAATTCTTGCAAAATTTTCTTCCTCAGTATCCTCAACGCCATCTTTTATTATGGTCAAATACCTGAACCTTGTAAGACCCAAATTGTCATTCCTGTTCTGAAACCTGGTAGAGATCCCATAAATTCTTCTTCCTATCGCCCTATTGCACTCTCCTCAGTACTAGCTAAAATCATGGAAAAACTAATTAAATTCAGACTTGAATGGATTCTAGAACACAAGGAAATATTAGCCAAAAACCAGTATGGCTTTAGAAAAGGTTTAGGCACTTTAGATAGCCTAAGCATCCTCACCTCTGAAATTCGCCTTGCATTTTCTCGTAACGAGAATGTAATCGGGGTTTTCTTGAACATCTCTGCAGCCTATGACAATGTACATCTTCCTCTTCTCAGGCAGAAAATGCTACATCTGAGTATTCCATCGAGGATGGTTCGCGTCATCTGCAATATGCTCATGTGTCGTACTATCCCTATTCGTCATCAAGGTTCTTTTCTCCCTCCTCGTCTTGTATGGAAGGGCCTTCCACAGGTTTAAGTGCTTAGTCCCATCTTTTATAATATTTATACTTCCGACTTAGACCTGTCTGTCATTTCTTTTTGTAAAGTTCTTCAATATGCTGATGATGTTGCCAGATATTTTTCGTCATCCTCCTCCTCTACTGCCACTTCCCGTTTGAATTCCGATCTGTATTACTCGTACTTAAACGTTTGGCTATTAGACCACAATCTTTCTCTGTATGTTTCGAAATGTAGTGCTATTGTTTTCACTCGCAAACGTAATATTCCTGACATCAACCTATCAGTAGCCGGAGAACTAATTCCAATAAAAGACACCTTAAAGTTTTTAGGCCTCATTCTTGATTCTAAATTATCCGGTATTCACCATCTAAACCATGTTATTAAGAAGAGCGAGGGTCCGCTGGGGCTCTCACCCCTTTTGCCAAAAACTTTTATACAATACCATAGTTCGGAATCACTTTGATTATTGTTCTTTCCTTCTGGAACAATGCAATAGAGTTGCTCTATCGAAGCTACAGCTAATCCAGTCTAAGTGCCTTCGAATCATAACTGGTACTATGAAATGCTCTCCAATGAATGCCCTCCAAGTCGAATGCTTGGCACCTCCCCTTCATCTTCGCCGCCAATTCTTAGCTGAAAGATACTGCTTTAATGCAGTCCAAATTAATTCCCATTCCCTTCTTCCAATTCTGTTTCAACTTTCTAGTCTGGCCACTACCTCACTGTACTGGAGACACAAGTTCCTCCCTTTGTTCCTTAATTCCTTTATTAAAATGAAAAATCTATCTGATCCTATCTTTCAATCTTCTTTAAATCCTCTTTTTGAGCTCAACTATAACTCTTTAACTTTCGAACCAAAAATCATCCTTGACTTTGGCATCAATTAACATTCTCCGGCAGCCAACCCAAAATTTCTCCCCAGTCATTTGGGTATAGTAGGCAATGAAACTGCGGACTCTTGCGCCAAAATAGCAGCTCAGACTGGATGCGCATCCCACAAATTCTGTTTCGCCCGAGATCTGCGTTCCCTAGCCAAACATTCATTGACTAAGTCCTGGAATATTACATGGCAAAGCAGGCATTCAAGGGTAAATTTAAAGGCTCTCTACGACCCTTAATTCCTGCTAGATCCTGGTTCTTCAAACGATCATGTTAATAAGTCTGCCACCTCTACTATAATTCGTTTACGATTAGGATTTGTCAGTACCCCAGTTTTTCTTGCCAAAATTCGAGTTCGTGATTTCGTGATTCGTGATCACTCTCTATGTGAGTGTGGTCTCGACGAAGGCACTCCGGAAAATATTTTCTTCTCTTGTCCTAAATTGGTTGTACCTCTGTATTATCTACTCCCTCAACAAATATCCCGACCCGTTAATTTGGCTTATCTCTTAACTCTAGTATATACCCCATTTGTCAAGATCCTTTACAATTTTATTCGTATAAATAAAACAAATTTATAATGTTTCCTGATACTTTTACTGCTATACTTTTTTGTTTTTTTTTCTACTGTCCACAGAACCACAAACAGAAACTGTTGAAATCACAACAATTACCTCTTGGTATTCCAAATATTTTCAACCTATTAACTAATAAATCTACCTCTCACCCAGACGTTGGCAAAATCATCGACATCCGATGGAGCCATTGAATTAAAAGAAGAACAAGAAAGCTCACTGACAGATACTATTATTTTAAACCTACTGAACTCGTTCAATAAATTATTTTATTTATGTTTGATATATTATCTTTAGAACGAATTATATTTTAAATGTATCTAAGGTCTGAAGTGTTTATTTTTTGTCTGTTTGAACTTGCTATGCTAAATTTAAAAAAAGCTAAAGGAATTTCCTAAGTTTATCACCACATTTAAGTGTAAGGTTTAACAACTGTTGCACATGTCCAAAGAAATCACGGTGACTATAAATTTTACTGGCTCACGTTGCATAAAACAATGGAGAGTATAATTACTGGACTGCTGGTTTTTAAAAGCACAGAGTTGGGTAACTAGTTGGGTAGTTAAGGTATCTAAAAAAAATATTTATTTTCTTACATATATAATATGTTTTTAAACTTTATAATGTCATCTTAAAACTGTATTTGTATAATTGGTCCTTTTAAACAACTTTAAAATCTTGATTGGGTTTAGGATATTCACGGTAAAAACATTTTATTACTTTACACACCCAACTAATAAAAAAAACAATCTACGAAGTAATTTTTAAAAAGTACAGAAATTTTTTTATTTAATGATTTTCATGCTTCAAATTGAGAGGTGCTATACTAGACCATTTAGAATACATTCCGACCAACGTCTGGTAGTAAGGAAAAATCGATTGAAATACAATAATCAACTAAATATTCATTAATTGGTCACGTCACATTCGCGTCCCTAATGCGCGTAGTGTAATGGACGTACAGACGCAACGCAAAGCAAACTTTGTGTCTGTCTTGATTGAATTTATCTATATTGTAAAATAGGTAATTGTCTTGCGATTTTACTACTAAGAATACTTGAGATAGAGATACCTTGTCTGTTTTAAATATTGGTAGGATATGTATATTCTCTCATTGTAGTCGTCAACACAATTTAGGTTATTCTAGGAAAAGCAATATACATAATTTTTATTATTTTAGTGAGTTTATTTTGAAATGGAAGCTGTAGAAGAACCGCCACTTAATATTCCTAAAGCGGAAACTATGAAAGTGTGTGTCATTAGTGACGAAGCCAAAGAGATCACTGTGGCTTCGGCAGAAACGGATGTATGTCAGAAATCAAACGGTGTCGCCGATTCGTCTAAATCGAAAGAAGAACCTACATTAGAGTCTAAAACCGTGATAGCACAAGAAAAAATTATAAAAAGTATTAATAAAATGGATAATATGCAAAATATTACTAAAGAAGATACTGTACTGAAGCCAGCAACTTCCTCAACCGAAACTGGTACAACACCAGATCAAAAGGTAGAGAGTGGATTAGAGGTAGAAGACATTTCGACTACTGAAAAGTCCTCGGATATCAATGAAGAGCCATCAAAAGATGTTGAGACTGAGAAAAATATTTATCCTGTTGATGAAAAAGAGCTTGTAATTGAATCTACTGTAGACCAAGTTACATTTCAGACTGAAATCTTAGTTGAGTCAAATGATACTGATGTTATTGAAACTGTCTGTGATAGTACTAAAATTGAAGAACAGGAAACTAATAATATACTCAGTGAACTGGGAACTGGTATTGAGTTAAGTGAAGCACTGCGATCTTCAGATGTAACAGATAATGTAGAAAATAATAACTGTAGTGGAAGGCAGGAAGTGTTCAATAAAGAGGAGCTGCTGGATATTTTGGAAGGTAATGATGATGAGCAATGTGATAGCTTATTATCCTCAGGATATCCTCCTATAAGTGGTGAGAAAATTTTGGAAACCCAATTAGCATTACAGCAACTTTCAAGGCTGAAAACTAAGCCAAAAAAGCCTAAAAGTATTGAGAGATTCCCTAGAAAGAAGAAGCAAAGAATAGTGGCACAAAACACCACTCATATTCCTGAGGTTAAAGATGAGAATAACATAGTTAAAGTTCTTGTCAAAGAATGGGATGATGAAGAAGGTGCTGAAGTAGATAAATCTAATAAAGTAGTGGAGGAAAATAATGACTTGTCACAAAGTTCAAGTGATGCTTTAAATTTACAAGAGTCGGTTTCGAAACAAGATGATGTCAGAACATCAATTGATTCACAAACAGCTGATGGGAATACACCAGGCTTAAATAAGAGCGGTGATGAAACTCAACCACAGAGAAGATTAGGTAGAGTTATAAAGAAAAAAGTTATATTTGATCCTGATAACCCAGACACATATACTAAAAGTAAAGTAATTAGTAAAGGTAAGGACCATATGCAAGAAAAGGACCAAACTCAATTTAAGAAAATGAAAACTGAGCCAACATTCCAGAGATCCAAGTCTAAATCGCCATTGTCGAAATTGCAATGGAAAAAGCCTTCACCAAAAAATATCAAACAAAACAAAAGATTGACTGAGGTTGATAAATTATTGATGGATGAAGGTGCCGTTAACATGATTTACCAACTCACTCCAGAAGCACCAAAAGGTAAAAAAAATATGAAAACCAAGGCAGAGTTTATAAAAAAAATTCAGAGCTCATCAACACCTGATATAAAAGAAATGAAATTTCGGGAAAGAAAAAAAGAGTCAAAGTATGAAGACAGTGAAGCTAGACGAATATTAGGAGGCAAACAAAGACCTTCTTTAAGTAGTTCTGTAAAATCACACTGTGTATCTGAAGACTTTGAGGCACACAGTGCAGATGACTCAATCATATATAGGCGTCATTCATCAAGTTCCTATTCAAGTTCATGTATGAGTCCACGTCGCTTGAGCGATGTCGAGATGACTGGCCAGATATCACGCAAGTCTCAAAGCTTAGTTAATCATGAGGTAAATAATGACAATCAAACAGTAGACATGTTTATGCCTGACAGTGAAGAAGTTGTGAAAATGGAAATAATCAACAAGAATGACTGTTTATCTATAAAACAGAAACTGAATTCTAAATTAAACCTTGCACTAAAGAAAAGAAAACGGGATAATTCTAAAACTGAGAAACCACCTAAACAAAAGAAAGTAATGCAAACTGTAGAAAAGACTGCAGACATTGAAGAGTTCAAATACTTATCAATTGACATTGATGGTAAATTGGCTCTAATATGTGTTCAAAAATCTGGGCCCACAAGTAATGTAGAGGTGAGTGTTGTATTATAACTTCATTCTATTTCTAGGTATAGAGTGCCTTGGAAAATACTACTCATCTTGCAACTTATTGCTATACAGTAATATTACATAAACAGTTTATCTCTTATTGTATAAGGAAGATTTTAGCCCAAAACTTACTCTTTGTCACTTACTAGCTAGTCTGTTCATCATGGAAATTGAGAAATATTTTACCATGCATATGTGTTGGGGCTACATTTATTTATGCTTCTTTGTTTATTTTATTATAATATGCAATTTTTCTTATAATTTCTTTTTTAGATGATCAGAGAGTTAGAAAAAGCATTCAAAGTCATTAATAATCTTAAAGATGTATCTGTAACTTTGTTATTACCTGAATGTGGATCAACTTATTCAGATTTAGATTTAAAAACATTGTTGGAGGATAACTCAGAGAAGAGAACAAGCTATGCCTACAAAATGGCTGACTCTATTAGGTAAGTATAATAAAATAAATAAAAGCCATAATTGCTTCTTGAACATCACATTACATTAGTAGTCCACTGCTTCATATAGGCCTATCCTTACAATGAAGGTTTTGGCCTACTATACAATGCAGTCTGGTTAGGAATAGGGGTTGTTTCAAGTTTTCTCTTTTCTCCTTCTCTTTGCAGCGCTGTTATCCTGCGTAGTTTGCTACCTTAGTTGGCTCTTAGGAGACCCATGGGATGAATAGGGGTGATGACACTCTGTATTCTCAATCTGTCACCACACAGATCCACTCTTCTTGAACACATATGTTTAACTTTTTTTAGGTCTTATGAGATGACCTATTCATATAGTAATATTACAACAATCACAGGTTTGACCTGTGAGTTTTGTAATATTACAATTTGTGGCCAAATTTTTTTATATAGTCGTCTTTTAATGAGGAATACAATAAAAGAGGACCTCATAAAAAAAGACTGACCTCAAAGAGTCACTTTCCATCAGGTGACCTGTCTGCTCGTATACCCCATCAATCACAAAAAATCAGTATTTTTCTTGAATAGAGGATAAGCTCAGACCAAATATGCTTCCTGATTACTTTTCATAAGAGACAGTCATCAGAAACATGAGTTTTACTATCAAGGGCATCTCTACTAGCAAAATTCGTAAACTACTCCATTTACAAGTTGACATTGATCTTTATTACATAGTAATTCCCTTTTTAATCTGCTGACTTGTGTACATATTTCTATGTCTCCATATACCTATGTTTTATATCTATTCTATTGGCATTTATGTTTAGAACTGTTTATGTGTAATTTATATAAATAAAATTTTATTAAGTGATATAGATCATATGCCTTAGACTGACATTAGTATATTGTCAATTTCGTAAGAATAATAGAAAAAAAACTTTGCATAACTTGTAGCAGTGATTTATGAGATTCACTGGACCTTTATGTTGTTATACAAACTTAAGGTAAATCTAACATGATTACTTAATGGTGACTTGTATCAAATATCAAGTTTTCTTTCATTTGTAATTGATTTCCAGAATTCTGCTCCAGACAGTAAAACAACATAGCAAATTATTGTGTACGGGAGCCAGTGGCAGATGCTCAGGCGTATTGTTGGCGTTAATCGGTCTTAGTGATGTTGCTTTGGCTTCAGAACGGGCCAGTTTTGCTGTCTCAATGAAATCTCAAAGTGCAGGACTAATAGAGCCTGGTATCTCAGTGCTTACTTCATATCGCCATCTACCTGAATCTGTGGTAAGTTTTCTAGATTCTGATCCTTTCTATATATTACACAAACATTGACTTTAGACAATTAGAAACTCACAATTTAGACTAGGAGCATTATAGAGAAGATCATATAGAGAAATAATCATTATAAGAAAAATAAATTTATTCTTTTAACATTCTAATAATAATAGGAAAGGCAATTTGGGTGTTTCTTATATTTTTATTACTACTACTATTTTGTTTCATCTATTAACAATGAAAATTAATGTATTACTGTAATTAATCATTGATGTTGAAACATTCATCCTTCTTTTACTGCACAACCTTAGTTTAGACTTAGCTAACATATGATTGTAACATATCAATGTAATATAGGCATGCCTTATCCAAGGTGGAACATTTTGTACAGTATGTATGATTAACTTAAGAACTGGATTAGTGCTCTGCAAATAAATGACAAAATTAATTAGAATCAATTAGAAGTAAATTACTTCTCATGTATAAATATCTGCTTTTGTTGAGGATAATATTTATTATTGCAGCTGAATGACATGATAGTGTTTGGACGGCGAATGTCTGCGTCTGATGCTTTACAGAATGGATTGGTCAGCCGTGTATTGTGGCCTGAGAAATTCAATGAACAAGTTCTTACAATTGTAAAGGATATTGCTGCTCAACCAGCCCAAGTAAGCTTAATACTCTTCATAACTATATTCATCTCGATCTCTTTGACAGTAAGCCTTCCATCCTCTTCCTTTGTAAAGCAGCTCAGAAATGTGTGTGTGAGGTATGCCCCCATTATGAACACAAATGTGATGCCTGGGGCATAGGCAGAATTGATATAAAGCCATTAAGTCCTCATTAACGTTGCCACAGTGCTCTCCAGTTTTGCACAGATGAAGTGATGAACATTGAAATACCTGAATATTGTTATCTTTACTAGAAGTTAGTTTCCAATAGTTAGGATTTCGGCAACGACATGAAAATGTTAAATTAGGTGGCACTAGTTGCAAGTTCCGGTGGTGCATTTCTTCAAGTTCATCAGGGTTCATTCGTTCTGCAGATGTTGTCACAACAAGAGCTTTGTGCTTCATGGAACACTCTGGCCAGTCTGTTACAGGTTGACAAAACTGAAAATAATAACAAATTATTATTTTCAGTTTAATTATAACAATCAGAAAAATAATAATAGTTCCTGGTTATAAAATGTACCAGAGGATGAGAGGTATTCCAACAATGTAATCTATCTATATCTATACACAGTAGGCACAAAGTGATAAAGTTATTTAAAAAAACTGACTGCTATTCCAAATGTCGCGGGTTCGATTCCCGCTCAAGTCAAACATTTGTGTGCATGAACATTTAATGTTTGATTTGGTCTGCGTGTTTCTATGTATAATATGTATGTATGTATTTACAAAAAAAGTATATCTGTATTTATATCAGTTGTCTAGTACCCAGTTTACTGACATATCAGACTAACAAAAACAAATTTGACGTCTTTACCGAAATAAACATGCTTAGATGAGCAGTTCAGATCCACAAATTGTTGTTCTGAGTCTGGGTGTTCTTTGTGTCCGTTTCATGTATGTTTGTAAAGTCCCCCGCGACACAGGATATATTCCTAATGCGGGAGTTGTTTTAAAAAAAAAAAAAAGAAAAAAAAAAAAAAAAGTTTTACCTATATGGTATGGCCTAATTAAATTATTTGAACGTCTGCAACGAATATCAAGTAAATCATCAAGTGCCAGCTCTAAAGAGCACAGATAACTTTTGCACCTCTGAGACAACATTTTGGGGTTGTTTTAAAGTAGAGAGCCTTTTATATCAAAACATCAAAGCTATCAAGCAGCACTCTATAGATGTGATGTTAGTGAAACGAGTAGAATTAGAAGCCGTTTGGTAACATACGAAAGAGCAAAAAAGCAGGGTTTATTTGGTATTATTCTAAATAAATTGGAGGTGGCTATAATAGAAACGGGCTTGGTGGATAACTATTAATCCTGAAATTACCTGAAGATAAGCTCGGTTATTAAGTTCTATGAGACTGTCGGGCCCCGCCATGGTGTCGCAGCGCTGTCTTCGCGCACATCGACAAAGCCGAACGAGCGCGGGCGCGCGCCAATACCTCATTAATAACGCTGAGCATGCTTGTCTCACGCTACACGATGGCAGGCTCCGTTCGCTTTCTTCCTAACACACAAAAAAATTTGAATGATGAGTAGGTACATTAAAAAAGTGGGTTATTAGATCCAGGTTTATCGAATGTCTTCTTTAAAACCTAAAATGAATCGCCACAATGTTTATTAATTTCCAAATGCGAAACTAAATAAGTCGTGCAAACTAAAGGTCATATACCTTTTTTGTTTTGTTGTTAATATTAATTCTAGCTCTCATACTTACGAGACCATAGTAATACAAAACAGGCTCGTCATTGTCATCACTAGAGTACACGCACGTAAATAGTGTCACAAACCGCAACAGAGCGTTTAGCCACATTGCTAATCACTACCATAATGCATTTATAGCTCTTAACGAAACTATAGGTCGCGACCCATATCGATAAGATAACCTCCTGGCTATAGAACTTAGTTTGAGTAGAATAAACTCTATGCTCTTGTAAATATGATGAAAATATTATAATTCAAGAAAGTCTTCAAATATTTTTATAATTCTTGGTTTCAAATTTTTTCTCTGTATTTGTTTTATTATATTGCCAGCGGTCACTATCCTGTCGGTTAAAGAGCTAAGGCGTAAGATCGTAACAACGATATTTTCAAATTTTAAATTGCCAAGCTTTGCAGTTAGGAGAACTAATTCCCGTGACTTTGCTCGCATTGAATTTTATTTTTGGTCTTTTTATTAAACACATTTTATAAAAGTTACGTGCATTTGTAAAGTGTACATAAATTATAAATAAGAAACTTCTGAAGTCGCTGATCGCCATAATCACAACTGGTATTTTACAGACAATAAAGAATTAAGATTTCAATTCAATAGTTTTTTTTTGTGGTATAAGGGGGCAAACGAGCAGACGGGTCACCTGATGGCAAGCAACTACCGCCGCCCATGGACACCTGCAACTCAAAAGTCACAAGTGCGTTGCTGTCCTTGGAGTCCCTCCCGCTCAAGTCAGCAGTAGGGGGGATTTGGGCTCCGGTAACCTCACTCAGTGAAAGGCAACGAAAGAATTGCTTAACACCGGTTTTCTGTTTAATATCTGTGAGAACCCAGAATACTCCCTTTTTATCAAACGATATTAAAGTATATATTTAAAAGAATATTCTTTCAATTTCGTTCCATTTTTAATAAATACAATAGTGGTGATGGGAGGTAAACATATAATTACGCATCAACAGGAAAATACCTTAGTTACCTAACTCGTTAAAATCACCCTTAAAGCCACGTTTACTAATATTTATACCGAAACATAATTTAGACAAAATTAATTTGTTTAATTGTATGAAACCAAGCGATTTCATACAGTTTTCCTTTACAATCACACATTAAACATCTAAAGTCCTTTCAACTATAACTTAATAGTGGTGCGCCCTATAACGCGCGTTTTTCAAACGCGTATTAACTCTAACAGTAATGTAGATCACTAAAAAGCAGAGTGTCGCATTTGTATCGATTCAACCGGCCATAATTTGAATGTGTGCAAATAGACAAGTATAATCAGCGAAATAATCCTGAAAGAGCCGGAAAATTCCTATTGGAGCAATAAAAATATTTTATTAAAGATTCAACTATCAGGAATTGATTGCAATAAAAATTATAACAAAATATTGTCAGCTAAGGTGGCAAAACAAATGTCAAAAATGGTAAAACCAAGTTTTTCGCATCTGAAGCGAAAACTAAAGCTCCTACAAAAAAACCGGAGTCGAACTCGTGCGCCGAGGGTTCCGTACATACCCAGATTTTACGCAGGGTTTCGCGAAATTTTGTAAGTACCAAAATTTACCTTAATTTTTAACTTTTTTATTTTTCAGAATTTTCTCTTTACTTGTGCTTTAAGACCTTGCTTTTAACCAAAATTGACAATTGTAGGTTAACCGGAAGTACCCTATAGGTATGGTAGTTCCCGTTGACCTAGAAACACGAAATTTGGCAAAAAGAAACGTCTTACAGCACAAACAAAGGAATCATTCCAAAAAATAAAAAAAGTTGAAAATTAAGATAAATTTTGGTACTTACAAATTTTCGCGAAAATCTACATAAAATCTGGGTAGGTACGGAACCCTTGAAATTTGCTCATATCTTTTTATCGTATTGACTCAGGATCTTGATTTTTATACACCTAATAGGGACCATAGACCTCAGTATCTGGTATAAATTTCAACTTGAATGATAAATGATATTTATTTCTGTAAGTAAATCTTTTTAGATATTTTTACAAGTCGGACTTTATAGCTAGAAGGAGCCGGCATTTCCTAAGACTCACTCTGGGAAGAAACGCCGAAACAAACTACAGAGGTGTCTTTTTTTTTAAGTCCTTAAACAAAGTTAAATAAAACTGTGCGAGTATAGTATAGGGTCTGGGTAGGCCTTTTGAGGAAAGGACCATAGTTTTGAGTCAGCCTGTCCATACATACAGCATACAGGCTCCAGCCATCGTGTAGCCTATATTGGTCAAAATCAACGACCCGAAGCATGACACTACCGCCAGCAGGACATTGGGTAGGCCGTGGAAACCCTCAAAACCACCAGAAAGATACTAAAATATGAATTAACATTACAAGCGTACACTATACTCACATTTACATACTTACACAAAAAAAACTATACAATTCAAATTCAACGAAAAATAAACAAATTAAAACAAACAAAATGCGAAATACACCAAAAAATAATAAATGTCCGTCACTTTCAAACTTAACAACAAAGATGTCTACGTAAATGTGGGAGTGAGCAGCATCAATCCCAAGCAAATTTGTCGTCTAAATAATCTGTAATAGTGTAGTAAGCCTTTTCACACAGATTTAGCTTTACTAAAGACTTAAATTTGTTAATACTTAATTCGTGGAATTTGCTTGGCACTTTATTATAAAATCGCACACCCTGACAACGAAAAGACTTGCTTACTTTTTGTAGTCTAGTGGTTGGTAACACGATTTTATCTTTATTTCTAGTGTTTATTTTATGAATGTCGCTAAACTTTGTGAATAAATCATTATTTTTCTTTACATACACTAAATTTTCAGATATGTATTGAGATGCGACCGTCATGATACCAATTTCTTTAAACTTATTTACCCCACACTTACTTTCCCCACAACAAAATACTGTACGACATTACACTATGAAAATAGCTAAAATACACCAGTCTAGCTGTTTCTACATCGGTTCATCATCATCATCAACAGCCTTTAATAGTCCACTGCTGGACATAGGCCTCCCCTTAGAAAGGAGGTTTTGGCCTACTATACCACGCTGGCCAGACGGGTTGGTATAGGGTTTGTTTCAAGTTTTCCTTCTCTCTGCAAGTGTTGTTGTCCTGCGTAGTTTTCTCCCTTAGTCGCCTCTTACGACACCCACGGGATGAATAGGGGTGGTGACACTCTGTATTCTTAATCCGTCACCACACTACATCGGTTAATTGACGAATTTTATAAACCGCGTATGCTGCAGAGCTGAGTCTATTCGACAATCCGTCAATGTATGGGCCCCATTGCAATTTAGAGTCTAGTGTTATACCCAAAAACTTGGTGGTGTCCACAAGATCCAACTCCTTTCCATTTATTAAGACATTGGTCTTTACCTGCGTAACATTAGGTGGAAAAAATCTAATACATTTCGTTTTATTCTCGTTTAAAAGTAAATTATTAACGTTAAACCAGTTCACAACCTTAGAGAGAGTGCTATTCACGTCATCAGTTACTGATTGCTGTCGTTTAAGTTTAAATAAAAGTGAAGTGTCATCCGCAAATAGTACTATCTCCTGATTATCTTTTATCACATTAGGTAGGTCATTTATGTAAACAAGAAATAAAAAGGGGCCGAGAATTGAGCCCTGCGGAACCCCCATAGTGACCAGAGACCCCAGGGATCTTTGTCCATTAACTTCCACTCTCTGGATCCTATTACCCAAATAAGAGATAAGAAGATCCAAAGCAGTGTTCCTAATGCCATAGTAATTCAATTTCCTGATTAATGTTTCATGAAAAACGCAGTCGAATGCCTTAGACTCGCTAGGTCTACCCGTTCCTGAGAAAATCGGTGGTGACACACGGACAGACGGACAAGAAAGTGATCTTATAAGGGTTCCTTTTGAGGTACGGAACCCTAATAAATAAAATGTAACAAATGTGCGCAATAAAAAAAAACAGAGAAAATGAACACCTTTTTTAAAAAAAAACAGATAAAATGAACACCTTTTTTAAAAAACACCTTTTTTTTTAAAAAAAAAGGGGTTCATTGGAGAACACTGGAGAGCAAAATTGCATCATCAGATCGCCCAAAATTTGCGGAAAATGTTGTAAACCTTTAGCAAACTGTCGACTTTTGCAAAAAGTAACCTTTTTTTAAACCGATCGGTAGGGGGTTTTAATTTTTGAAAAACGTTAGGCTAGTTGATTCAATTTGAAAACATGGTTAATTATATACTTTAAAATGTATTTTATCCCAAAAAACCTATATTTTAAAGAAAAAGCAATATTTACATTACGTATTTTGTATTTGAAAGACATCAATTTAAATTTCCCATGAAAACGCTGAATAGTGTCTGCGAAACAAAACTGTTTACATCTGTGTCCAATGTCAACTGAAACTGTATTAAAGTAAGAAAATATGCTAAAAGCGAAAAACAATAAGGAGTAACCTGCTCTGTTGTATGAAAACGTCAACAACAACAATAATGTTTTGCGTGGCGTGACGTAACACTTTCTGATTGCTGTTCGCTGTCACGTGACTTAATGCCTATTTTGTTCGAATTTATTTAAAAAATAATAATAATCTTTAACTTTTATTAGAAATAGACTGGTTTTTTCTTATCTACGTCTCTTCATTTATAATTTTAAAATATTAACAAGCAATTTGTTATTAGTGGACACAAGCCTATTTTGGCAGCTAAGTATTAAGGAGGAGTTTAACTACAAATATCAAAATTTTCACGTCACTGGAGAAATACAAATTTGTTTAAATAACCAATAAAGAACAGGTACTTTTTGAGCGCGCGGCGACGAGTGTAAGGCGTAAGCCACTGTAGTCCAGTCGACGTAGCTCTGTATTTGAAAAAAATATATGACCAAGAGTGCTTTTATGACATTAAGCGTAGTTGAGTACGCTGATTACGGGAAAAAGAAATGTAATAATTGATTGGTCAATGTTAAAATTGTATTTATAAGTTTATTTCATCAATTTATTTATTTATTTTTATTTATAACTTCTTGCACAAATGTGTACATCGTTGACTCCGCCAATTCGCCCAGCATAAGCTCCTTTACTTTCATCTTAAAAGAGTGGTGATTGAACAGGAAGCTGATTCCACGAGTTGATAA